TTTACTTAGGTGTATGATGTGATCAGACCAGCGCAAGTATTGGTCTACTATAAGTATTTTATTGCTTCTACTTTATCTAAAGGGGGGTACTTACAGTTTGGTTCACAAACTTATGAATGTAATTTTAATGTAAAATTAGGTGGTTAGTTTACTATAGTTGGACTAAAAGCAATAAATTTTGTTTTTTTAATATTTAGAGTTAGAAGGTTGGTGTTTAGCCACATGTTTACCTTTTTTAAGTCAGCTTCTGCGTTATGTTGAATTTCATCCCATTTTCGCCTTTAAAAACTAATGCTGTGTCATCAGCATAGCATACTAGATGACCAGAGAAACCTTTATTTTAGTTATGCTATTGATGTAGACCAGAAACAGTATTGGATCTAATACTGTTCCCTGTGGTACACCAATTTTTAAGATAGTACCAGAACTCATTTCTTTACCAATTTTGACTTGCTGACTTCTATTTGACAGATAATCCGAAATAAGTTCAAGAGCCAATCCCCTAACACCGTATTTACTTAGTTTGCTTAGAAGGATTTTGTGAGAGACGGTGTCAATCGCCTTGGCCAAATCCAGGAAAACTGCTATGCATCCCATGGAGTTGTCCAAAGCGGACACAGTTTCCTCTAAGAAGTCCAATATCGCGTTTTCGGTGTTAGATTTTTTTATAAAACCATATTGAGAATGAGTTATGATATTATGCGATTCAAAGAAATTAATTAATCTTTCTTTAAGAGCACTTTCAAAAATCTTCGCAAAATTGTTAATGAGAGATATAATTTACTATAATTTACTGGCTTACTAGAGTCCTCCGATTTGAAAATGGGGATGACAACATAGCTATTACACAAATGTATTTTTCTACACCCACATGGATATTAGCTTATCTACGCACAGATTACAAAACGAAAAAGTATGCTATTGGCTTCAACTGAACGAATATATTCCATATCCATTCTAGGTAGTAAGAAAACTGCAAAAAAATAAAATCCACCAATCACTCTTCATATTTTGATCATTATTTTTAAAATTTTAAATAAATGAAAATTCTGTCAAACTAATTGTCAGTATATTTTTTAGTTATTGGGATTAAACATACATTAAAATGAATTATTCTTGTGTATAATCGATAAATAATAGAATTTCGGTTTTATTTCATATATAATTATAATTTGTTAATATAAATAAAACTATATGAAGTCAATTTAATTACGAGTATTAAAGACTCAAAAATAAAAGAATATGTTGTCCTGTGGTTAGCATTCTTGCCTTCTAAACGGAAGACTGGAGTTCGATTCTCGGATGGGGAAAAATAAAATGAACTTTACTTCTTTTTTTTTTTTGTTTATTTTATTTAAAAAATTATTAAGAGTCATAAATTATTTTAAAATTAGTTATTTTATCTTAATAACCTAAAATATTTATTTATAAATTTTCGTTAGTGGGTCGTAGAAAAAATATACTGTACAACTCTAGTGGATTGTCCACATCGCACTCAGGCAATTGACGAATTTCGTCTACGTGCGTTATGACCATCATATCCACTCTTGTTGCACAAACTATTATTATACTTTTGATATCTATAGGATACGTTCCTAACTTAAGGGTTAATAAAAAATACCCTAGAAGATGTTTACCCATATAACCGCAAATTAAAAAGCAAAATTACTTTTAACTCGTGTATTACTTAGCCAATAAACAATTATTATGTCTTATTACTCTAATAGGGTAGGATGTACAATAATTACCATTAGTATCTGTTGCTTTTTCTGCAGTACTTTTTACGCTAAAGACTCTAGCAAACTTTTTAGGGTCAATGGTAATTATTATATTTTTGTTATATGTCACTGAAACTCGTTCGTTAATAAATTTAAATTCGTTTGGTTTAATAGAAATGTATTTTGAATTGTTGAATGTTTGTACGATGAAAGGGCTGCGTTTCTTTTTCTGAGTATATATTGTTTTTGGAACTTTATTACCAATTGTTACATTTTTATTTTTATCAATTTCTTTCAAATCTTCAAAAAACGAACATTTACATATTGATGTTTTAAATGCATGTAACTCTGCTGATTTAAATTTTTCATTAATTCTATCAATGTTACATTTTTTACATTTACAAATACAGGGTTTTGGAACTGGATCTGTTTTTATATATTTATATCCAGATATATGCCTTTTATTCGTTTCATTTAAATAGTATGGGCAGGTGTTTCTGAAGCAGCGTGTTTTTGTTGAATTTTTATTATCTGCACAACAACAAGGTTTTAAAGCTACATTGTTTTTTCGTGAATACATATTATCTTTTCTATTTAAAATATACGGACAAGTATTCTTAAAACACCGTATCTTAGTTGATTTTTCATTAAATTCAGTTTTAATCTTTAAACTAATATTAGTAGATACTTTTTGAAGCGACTTTCTATATGGACAGGTATTTCTAGTACACCTTGTTTTGGATTTTTTTCGTGGAACTTTTATATGATATTTAGAATTTGTCAGATTTTCGATAAATTTTATAATACTGTCGTATGACCTTTTTGATGCTGGTAGGAATTCAAAACTTTGATCTAAATGTAATTCTGATTTTAGAGAAGTATCCTTTGATTCCTGTTGAAAATCAATTTTTTGAGCAGAAATTCTTTTAAGTATGGGTGCTATATCATTTCGTTGTTCTTTTACTACAGACTTTATTTCAGAATAATCTATATCTTGTAGTGTTAGATTGGAGTATTCATCACATAGCTTTCTTATCTTAGATGTTTCTGGAATAGATACTGGAATTCTTTTGGAATTAGTTGAATTTTGAAAATTTTCGTCTATACCTTTGTTTTCTATTTGTGTCGACAGAAAAGCTAGACAAATAATTTTTTGAAGATTTGTATTTAAAACTTCTTCCAGATTTAATTTTCTTTGAAATATTACTTTGATATCCTTTTCTTTATCTTCTTGAGCTATTTTATTTAAAATTCCTTGAAAGGTTCGACTTGATTTGTAGTTAAATTTTTTTGATTTTAACATTTATAATCAAAGTTAAATTCATTACTGTTGTTATTGTCTTTACGGTACATCAGGTTTTTTTGTGGAGTATAAGGTATTTTCCATTATTGATATTTGTGAAGAATGAATCCTTTTGGGGATATGACAGATGTAGGACGTATGATTTTGATGTAAATAAGGCATTTCAACGACCTGTCAAAATTGCTGCCTGTAGGCTTTAACAAGGTCAATGATATTATAATTATATAGAAAGCTCAAAGCAAGTCGCATTGGAAGCGGCCATATTTAACAATTTATACTATCAGAATCTTCTTTAAAACCGCTAGCTAGTGGTTTTTCGGTTTCTGTTTGACACATCAAACAAACGTCGCTCATGTCCAACCATCATTCCTCGCAATTAGGCATTCCAAACTGAATGGCTACCAGTGGGTTTTGACGGGTTATGATATGAAAAAATTATGGCAACCCTGTAGGCCTGGTGATTTGACAAGGTCAATGAAATAGATAGTTACATAGATTGATCATCCATATTTTTAAAAATGAACATAAGCTTATGCCTTGAAGTAAAAATGTAAGCAATTATTTTTTTTAAATATCTAAAGGCTAAAAATTGGTTTTAAAAGACATTTTTGCTAAAACGGTTCAAATTAATAAATATTTGCCAGGCAATATGGCCGCTCGTAAACGATCAGCTTTGAGCAATCTTTATAACTATATATGTATCATTGACCCTGTTAATCACAACATGACAACAGGGTTGCCATATCTAAACTGTCATTACCCACTGGTAGCCATTTGGACAGGTCGTTGGAATACCTAATACCTTCAAAAAATGACAAGGTTCGTTCTTCGCTTTTAGGTTCTTTTCTAGGTTCAGGTTTTTCGTAAACCAAACACTTCTTTCTCGCGAATTTGAACAGTCTCGACCTGTCAAACACTTTCCGATGGTTTATTCGTAGGATTTGTATTCCTGAGAAGTTTTCTTTTAAAACAAAACCGGACCTTCTTCAAAAAATAAAATTGTCATGAGGATTTTCTAATACAAAACTGTATTTATATGCGCGCCACTGGGAATACTTCGCGCTGTTATATGTCTCGAGAATATTGGGAGCTTTAAATATGCGCAACGATAAAGGCAGCATTCTACAGAGACATTTCAGAAAAAAGTGGGATGCCCTTCTATTTAAAAACTGCTAAATATTTATTAAAACAAAAAACAGCATATTTTCATAGATTAAATACAGAATGGCGCGTAACATTTTCTTTTGAAATTATTTTTGAAAAATATTAAAATAAACACTTTTCGAAGATTTAAAAAAATATAATTTGGTTTTTCTTCAATATTTTAAATTTAATTTCAAAAAATATTTAAAAAGTGCTCGTCAGTTAAAATAATTCTTTCTACAATTTTTATATATGAGTTTCTGAAAAACAAATATAATATAATATATAATAATGTATAATATATATTATATTTGTTTTTCAGAAACTCATATGTTGTAAAATATAGTGTCAAATGTGTTGCCTATCTTTTGAAACCTGCTTGTTAAATAATTAAATAATAAGTAACACATGATTGTACTTTTTGACATTTCCGCGGTAGGTACGTTCTATGAATATTCCCAAATGTTTCTCGACAAAAAATATTATGGAAACTAGTCTGATAAATATTTACTCATAAATAATATATTGTATAAGCTTATAAATTGGTGATAATACACTGTTTATTATGAAAATGTATTCGGTTAGAAAATATTCGTTGGAAAAGTGAGATATGTTTTCATAAGACTCACAAATTAAATAATTGGTATGCATCTATTATTTATAACAAATAAACAAGAAAATATAAAATCATAAATATTATACTGATAATTTCATAATTTCATTTTGTTACAGCTCGGAGTGATAATGAAAGTGGCGAGGTGAGAGGGAGAAGTAGAAATACAAGAAGGGACGACCCTAGAAGGCACACCTTGGGAGCAGACCAACAATATTTAACAATGGCAGGTCAGGGAGGGCCATTATCCAGGACCATGGACCTTGAGGTAAATATAAATAAGTATACTTAGATATTTTTTTTGCATTTTATATGCAAAATCAAACTTATCTGGGCAAAATTTATGTCGCCATATAAAGTGGACATCATTTATTAGGGAATACAAAGATCTCGTAAACCGCTGTTATACAGTGTCGGTTAGATTGAGGAAAAAGTTTCATATTTTGGTGATTAATACAAAGGTCCATAAAAGTTATAGATTTTCTTACTAGTTCTTGAGGTATTCCTCAAAATTCGAAAATACTCAAAATCCCAATTTTGAAATTGTTATAAATAAAGTTCCCTATAATCTGCCATACCAAAATATTCATGACGACGTTTTATGTTTACAAGGCCCACCTTCAGCTTATTTTTTTACTAGTAATTTGAGGTGAATAGAAACACTTTTGTACCTTTCGGCGCTTGTATCTCAAAAACAAGGCTCTCTAAAAATAAAGTAAAAAAGTTGTGTCGCTCCTAGTAGATTCAAGTCACCTAATTTACTTTTTTTTTGAAAATTTTTTTTCCTCTTTTGTTTTAAAATATGCCCTGCTTCTAATCCCTGGCAGTCGGGGTGAAAATAAACACACCTTCTTTTTTTCACGTTATTGGTTATTATACCACACCAAAGGTGAATAGAAATAGTTTTTAATTTTTCAAAAAGTATTTTTCCTCATTTTTATGCATTTTTGGGTAATGAAAACTACTAAATATCAAAAATATTCTATTTTTTATAAATTTTTATCAAAAATAAACAAATAAATTCTTAGAGAAACATTTTAGAGTGATAAATAATCCAAAACTATTAACTCCTAATACAATAATCTTACTTTGTAGAGAAACACTTTGTAGTGACTTGCTAAACTAAAACTATAAACTAACAAGAGAAAATCTAAAACTTCTTAGAGAAATGTTTGTTTTACCTAAATAGAAAATCCTAAATTTTTTGACGGAAAAGGAACTCTTTCGTAAACTAGGTAACTTAGTTGAGATCATTTTGCGTAATTGCAAATCTTAATACTTCTCTTTTGGACGTGCCAGCGCCATCTTCAAATGGAAAAACTTTACCTAAAACTTTTTTGAAATGTAAACATGGACACATCAGGTACGGTGGGAAACTCAAATGGATGGTCCGGGAATTGTTAGCTTGGCCGGTATTTTAAAAATGTTTTTTCAAAATCTGATCCGCCAAGAATATCCAAAACTTCGCCAATAAAATATTTATTTTTCCTTGTTTTTCCAAAAGAAGCCGGAAAAGCAACAACCAGCCAGTCGCTCTTTTTAACGGAATATTTTGAAATAGGAAGAACACTTTCAAAAGTTTTCCCCAAATATGAAACACTTATGGTATCGCCGCTTTCATTTTCTTTGTTTGTTTTAACAAAGCATATTTTAGTAAGAGGGACATTCATGCCCTCATCTGAGTCTTCGGACTCTTCAGTGACTTCTGCCTCTACATTATCATTATTTTCGATGTCTTTATCCGAGTTTTCATTCTCATCCTTATCATTTATAGGTTGTCCCATACCACTTAGGTTAAACTGAAATTTAATCTATATTTTTATGAGCATGTTCATTGTTATCTTTTCTTGGCAGAACGTTTAGCACTTGCAATCGATCTAGGTGAATTATTCCAGATTTCCAGAATCCTGACTGTATATTTGTTTTTTGATTTTTCTGCAGCTCAATCATTAATTTTTTTTAGGAAAAAAAGAAATCGGTTTTTGGGAATTGTAGCTGACTTTCTGCCCTCTCCTGTCATTTTCCATTCATCCAAGATTTTTCTCCAAGCAGTCTTTAAGGGCCGGAAAAGGGCCACGTCCAGAGGCTGGCAGAGATGTGTTGAGTTTGGCGGCAGGAAAACAAATGAAATATTGTACTGTAGGCACTCCTCTACAATGTCTGGAGAAAAGTGACTAGAAAGATTAAGATTTTCTTTCTAGGTAACTTTTTTAATTTTGGTATCGCAATTTTCCTAACCCAATCACCAAACGCAGCTGCATAAAACCAACCAGTCTTGCTGCGATTGTATCTGGCGCCTTTTACCCTACCAGTTGTCCAAGATTCGTAGAGGTGTTCGGCTTTATACACTACATAAGGCGGTAGTACCTCTCCATCCCAAGTCACCGCAAACATAATCGATGTGCTGCTTTTCGAGGAGTTGCAGACTCGTTCGGGGTATCGAGATCTTTTTTTTTACAATGACCTTTTTCCGTCCAGGGTCATCAGCGAGATTCGTCTCGTCGTAATTTACGATATTTGATGGTGGCATATCTTGAAGCGTCTGTCATTTCTTCATAGATATAAGTTTATGGTTTCTTAATGAACCTTTTTTGGTGTATATCCATTGGCATCAATCAATTTATCCTTCATTGCCAATCGCTTTCCCTGAAGTGCTAGAATAATAGTCTGAATAAAAGAGGAGTGCAATAAAAGTGAGAATATAACGTCACATTCCATAGGCGTACTTTTCAAAATAAATGTCTATAATATAAATATGGTCACGGCATATAAAATGGTATACAAGCACTTCTTAGAATAAGTTTTGAATAAAAAAACGTTATATTATTTACAAAAAATAAAAATATACTTTATGCTTCTGACAAAATTGTTGTACTTTAACATTGAACGAATTAAATTTAACTTTTTTTAATCTCTTGGTATCAAAAATAACACTTCAGTACCTAAAATCAAAAACTAATAATAGTTATTATAAATCAATTATGTATTATTGGTAGTTATTTGGTTTCTCTTATTCTTAATTTGGGGTTAGATTTTGTTTTGGTTTGGGTCACGGTATGTAGCCTTTTTTAGTAGATATTAAAAGTTGTCAGCAGATCTAATTTCTTCTTATATTTTTCAAATAAGTAAATTATTAAAATAAATAGACTTTATTTTTTTACCTCAATCACGATTTTCATGATCTTCTTTTCTATTTAAATTTCCCTCTATTAAGTCTTATATAGCTTTCAGAACCAGTAATATTTACTTTAAACGTTCTAATCCAAGTTTAACGAAATGTAGCAGGAATCCATGAATTAACTTAGAATAGAAACGAGCTACCCCGGCTGCCTCTCATTTTCTAAGCGTCCTTCACCATACTAATAGCTCCACGAATTTCCATAATTTCACTTCGAGACCAGAATTGATTCAGTAAATATTGCTGTTGTGTCGGATATACAGCAGGAAAGCTGGGAAGGCCAATTAATTTCAGTTAGTAAAGCGGAATCGTGGTTTTGAATACCTGAATTTTGAACATTGTCAAAGGACCGCGGCGCGACGCGAACTCTAACGCACCCTTGGTTTAGAATTAATGATAAGGTCAATTAAATAGGATATAAAGGTTACTTCAATTTGAGTGCATAGAGGAAACGCAAAGTGGTAGTCTCGAGGGTAGCTTATAACTACAGACTGTGCTTGAGTAATAGACAGGCGATTTTTAGGGAACACAAATTACGTTAGGATGCTCATCATTTTATAATCATACTTTAGGTTCGAATAAAATCAGTTTAAAGCATAATTAAAAAGTAAAAATAGGTTATATTCTTATGAAAATTTAGGAGAGTGGGCCAGGTCTCACGTATTTCTACATTTATTGTTATTAAATAAAAATTGGTAATTTTGAGCTAGTTACTAGTAGTGGTGCGCACGAGACGAGAAAAATCTCGATCTCGTCTCGGTCTCGTTCTCATCTCGAGACGAGAACAAGATCTGCATACCAAGTCGAGATCGAGAGATCTCGGCGAGAACGAGAAAAAATTCACCAAGATCTCGCCCGTTTTGTATACGTTTATTTGATTTCCGTTTAGCTCGGATGATTTTAGTCCAGTCATTATAGTAAGTTCACCTCGGAATTCTAGATACCCAGCTGTAAGACTGTAAATACTTGTATATTGACACCCTAAAAGTTGTCTCAAAACCTACATATGGTAGGGTGTACGCAACTAATAAATTTCAAGGTCGAAGGTCACAAAAATCGGTTTTTTGCGCTTTTTTTTGTAAATATTTCCTATGGATTTTTTGCTATTTGTATTTATTATCAATATTGTAGAATACAAAATTCTCTACAAATTTTGTTTAAAAAAATGTTTCATGCGGTGAACGGTTTTCGAGATAGAGGGCTGAGAGCGCGCGGTCACAGCATCACTTCAGGTCAACCGGTGCCTCCGGTCGAAAACGCGCCATATATAGTTGATGAACTATCGATAAATCAATGATTATAAATATTTGTCAGTTTTTATTAACTATTATATTATATTTTTTATCATTTTTTTCCTAACCTATCCACTTTTTATTCAGTATTAATTTATTTAACAACACTTACCTGCCCATGTAATTGCAGAATTGTTAATGAAAATATAGGAATTATATTTGAATTTTAACCTAATTAATATTAATAACTTACATGATGAAAAAAAAAACAAATAAATGATGAATTAATCTTTTTATTAAAAAATATCATTCAATACATTTATTTTTATTAAAAGTAAAAACATTGAATAAAGGGTACAAAAACTACAACTTATAATTTTAATGATCTTCTTTCTCTTCATCGTCGTCTTCCGGCTGCTGGTAAATTTCAATCTGGTCTTCATTATCGTCTTCAACTACATTTGTCTCAAGTTCTTCCATGATTTCGGGGTCAAAGGTTCCATCTTCGTTAATGTCGCTCTGATATGGTAGAGCATTGAGACAAGCTTGCCCATTACATTGGCAACAAGCTAAAGAGCATTGCAAGCCCGCTTTCTGCATCCACATCGCGTAACACAACCACTCTTGCAGTTGCAGAACATTGAATTTAGCAAATCTTCTGGAGCAGGTGGTTCAAATTGTCATGATAGGCTCCAGAAAATCGTTTCGCTTTGCCCAACCCCATACCTGGGGTTCCAAATCATACCCTAACCAAGTTGATGGAATATTTGAAAGCTGCACAGGTTTATTAAGTTTTGTAGACTTGACGTAATGCATATAACGAAGATGATCGAGACTTTTCACAGATTTCGGAGCATTATAGACTGCCAATAAGGTTTGAGTTCCACTATCTAATAATCTCTGGGCCGAACAATTTTCTTCCTCAAATGCTGTAGCTAGTTCATCCAAATGTGTCAGTTTCTCAGAAACTTTTAAAAATGATTTTTTTCCCTTTTTAAATGCGCAGAAGTTGTGTCACAGCCACTTAATGCGTGCAGAAATAAAATATGTGTTTTGGATTGAGGATAATTATCAAAACTTTTAGTCGAGTATATCTCCGTTTTTACATTTCCTTTCCCAACTTTTTTAAAGAAAATTTCTTGTTCGTAAGACAGTGTACGCCCATTTAAAATGACAAGTAAATCAATATCTTGTCCTATTATAACTGCAGTTTTTTCAGACTTTGATTCTTCAATTGTAGTTTCAACAATAAGAACATCCGCATCATCTCTGGCTTGTTTAGTAGTAATATTTACAACTTGTAATTTTTCAATTATTAATGAGCATATCTTTGTTATTTCGATTTGATAAGAATTTTTCTTGAGTAACTGGTACAACCATTGTTTCATCGAAACAGACTTAATACGTTTTTGAAAGTGCAGCTGTTCTTCTCTGCTGCTCCATAGCTTTTACGTTCTTACTGTAGTCTGATTTTTTTTAAACAAAATTTGTAGAGAATTCTGTATTCTACAATATTGATAATAAATACAAATAGCAAAAAACCCATAGGAAATGAGATATTTACAAAAAAAGCGCAAAAAAAACGATTTTTGTAACCTTTGACCTTGAAATTTAATAGTTGCGTAAACCTTACCATATGTAGGTTTTGAGACAACTTTTAGGATGTCAATATACAAGTATTTACAGACTTAAGCTGGGTATTTCGAATTCCGAGATTCTTATCTAATTTAAGCTTAAATGACTGGACTATTACCAGCCTGCGCGAAAGCAGGCACTGACACGTATTTCGCCCCGTTCACGTGTTCACTGTGTTCCTGCACTGCATTTTACATTAATTGCTGTGCCGAAAGGTACAGTTACATCTAACATTTATTGCATGATATTTATGTCTAACAGTTGTTTATTCCAGTGTAAACACTCAAAAATATATGCCCGAGAGAAATTTTTGTGTGTTTACACTGGACTAAATAACTGTCAGACATAAATATCATGCAATAAATGTCAGATGTAACTGTACCTTGAGACATAAACTAAATAGCTTCAATGCTACAACATGGGACAGAGAAATGAATTAAAAAGTATTAAATAATTTGAAGCTATTTACAAGCGGCAATATTATATATGCAGCAAACACTTCAGCTTCGTCATCGTCATCATCAAATTGTTCATCCGATGATGATATTGACCTTAGCTCAATCTACGAGTCATCCAAAGTCACTATAATAATTCGAGGCACAAACTTGATCGCTACTATGATTTTTGAAGGACCGACAAGGATGCTGACATTTTAATGCGGTGGCTTCACAATCGCTATGAAAAATGGCTCGCGATTTTTTAGGTACTCCGGCCATATCAGTACCTGCCGAGAGACTGTTTTCAAAAGCTCGGCT